GTGTGTGTGTGTGTGTGTGTGTGTGTGTGTGTGTGGGGGGGGGGGTACGGTGGGCGTGGGCCTCCTCGCTGGTGGCCTGGCTCTGTCAGAAGATAACAAAATTCACCTAGAGGCACTTCTACTTTCTCACGTTGTACTTTGTTTAAAGCGTACAAAAAGTTTAAAAATGTAAATTCACACGCGGGGTGGTGTGCCAAACTATTTCCTAGCTTGGAGCAGTTGCCAGGCAACCAGACCGTAGGAGGAATTGTTGGCAACATTTTTTATACTTTTGTGCAAAATTCAGATGAAACAAACAAGATATAACACGGTAATTGGTGGGTTTTAGAGGTGCTGGACAGCCCCTCAAGATGTGTGTGCGTGTGTGTGTGTGTGTGTGTGTGTGTTTGTTTGATGGTGTGCACGTGTGTATTGTGGGAAAATAATGTTATTTCTCTCAAGCTGTTGCATGTTATTTACAATGATGTCATCGTGTTTTCCTGTAATATCATCTTAGTTATTGATAACTTAGCTCTGTTATTTGTGTTGGATTTATATCATTGTGTCTTTATTCGCCCGTCCATGGTGAATGATGTGTGTGTGTGTGTGTGTGTGTGTGTTGCATGAAAAAAAAAGAAAAAATGCCCAATAATGGAGAACGCCCCGCCTCCATCCTTGAAGTTACCATGGCAAACGGCGTCGACGTCACAATGGAAGGAACGCCGTCTATAAGTATTGGAGGGTCTGCCGCGACTGCTCGCGAGCTCGGATGTGTGTCCTGGAGGAGTGACACGTGCTGTTGGACCAAATAATAAATTAAAAAAAAATATATATATATATATACAGCGGACACATCCAGGATATATCATTTCGCTTTAATGTTTTATATTGTACATACTTTTTAAAGGATTCGTGTCTCAACTTTTACTTGAACTGGGAAGAATTAGGTCCACATCCTAAGCAGCCATGGGACGAGGAGTGAGTATCCGTGTTGTTTGTGTTGAATGCATGTTCATATTGAGATATGTGGTGGAGGGAAAGAGGCATGTCGAACTTTACCATTCAAACAAGTGGTTTACTTGATGCTGTCGCGTGGGGAGCTACACGGCCACACGTGTTAAGATGAGCAACAAGACTCCTTTTGTCTTTTCGCTACAAAACTGTTTGAAAGTTCTTTAAGGACTTCCGTGTTGTCGGCTCCCCCCCAAGAAAAGCACAAGACAATGTATCATTTCACTCGGCTGGCAGGGGAAACAAGAATGTAGAAAGAAGTTTCCATCGCTCACAAAGATACAAAGATGCTTCTCGGTGTCCGGTTACATAACGGGAAGATCTCAAACGCCCGGACTGTCAAAAGTTTTTCACCCGACTAACGGAATTGGCTGCGACGTTTAAGGAAAAGCCGAGAAAACGAGGGCTGCGGGGGGTTATTTCACGGCTAGTTTGTGTCTTATTTAATCCGAAAAACTAGTTATCTTCATTCGTGTGTATTTCCTGTGTTTATGACGGATACATGAAGACGCATGCTCTCCCTCCAGGGGGAATAAAGTGCCGTTATGTGTTTTACTCGTTTGCAAACATGTCGCTCTTCTAGTGTCACTTTTTTCCCAGAGCAGCTGTGAATTCTGGGTACTGGCTCGCTCGTGGGAGGGATAACGGTAAAGCAAAGTCCAGCCCCCGTTTTTGGTCTGCTGGGAGATTTTGGAGCTCTGTGACCAATTATCTCCAAACTCATCTTAAATCAGGTCTGAGCACTTTGTTCAGGGAGAACAGCTGAGAGTGTGTCTGCATCTTCAGGCTGCAACACATTAGTCCTGTAGGTTCACGAATAAAGCATATAAAAAGCTTCATATTGTTTTATTTATTTTGCAGCTTTTTTCATCACAGCTTTCTTATTATGTCATAAAATTATGAAAATTGCACCAAAAAGCAGTCATCACCGACAGATTATTGATATTGCAACTAGAATGTGTCATATTGCCTAAAAATCGTGTGAAAGTTGTTGTTAATCATTGTACTGTGAGGTTTCAGGCTCGGTAAGAAGATCTCCATCTTTCCTTCCGTCTTTTCTTCCCCCCGGCAGGGGTGATCGGCTTCAGACGGAGGTTTTTGTGTGGTTTGTGTTGTAAAATCTTTCACTCGCGTGTCTTTTTTCTGTCCTGTTATTTATTGGAAAGTATTATTTACACTGAGAGTGTTAAATTCTGACAAGAGGCTTCCTTTTATCGGCTGTCCCGTCAAATGGAGGATTTAGACGCTTGCGGATCTCCCAGCAGCCCTTCTGTTATCGTTCTGTTTTTTTTTTCCACTAAACTTAAATTGTAAGAGATGAAGCTAAACCCGGGTGTGTGAAATATCAGTCGTTCGCCACACCCTGCCATGCTGCAGAAACATTATGCATTCAGCCTGCGAGGCATGGGGAGTTGGCTGGAGGGAGAGAAAGTGTGTGTGTGTGTGTGTGTGTGTGTGTGTGTGTGTGTGTGTGTGTG